AACATCTTTCTTACGTGCTAATAATGAAATTTTTAAGTTGAAAGTGATATATACTATAAAATACATATTATACATATTGTATCGCCACAAATAAAAATCTCAAAATCTTACCACAAGAATTTGACTTTAATAGCCAATAAAAAATGAGAATCGTCCCCACGGTATTTACCAACGAAGAAACTTTACTCCATATATACATGAACAGCCATCGCCGCGACGATAACCAAATATTTTACCACACCCCTCCGCAAAGACCGACCATGATCGCGGCACTTGCCAAAATAAAATCTTTCCCAGAAGGACCTTAGGACGAGCCATGATTACATTAGGGACTAGGACTATGGGAAGTAGGCGATTAGCTTCTAGTAAGCCATCGCAGACTCACTTACCGAAATTAGAAAACCGATCAGAAATTAAATTTTGGGTATTTCTTTTTAGAATGATGAAAGATTAAGATTTAAGATTTTATCTCTTTCGAAATCTTTTTGTCGTTATTCTTTTCGCTTAAGAAGTCAAAATCCAATGGACAGTCAAAAGTTAATAAACTAATTTTGCATTTTCATTTCAATCGGTCAATGACTTTCGTTAAGTTTGATAAGACACCAACCAGACCACCACTAAGCGCAATTGGAACGACTAGATAGTTTGAGTTGTATAGGATAGAAATAACAAAAAATTGCTAGGGCGTGCGAAGTCAGCTAGCGAGCAGCAGTTGGAATGAATGCATTTGTAGAACATTGCCGCCACGCAGAAAGGGAGAACAAGCCAGCTCTCGACAAAGTATGGCTGATCAAGTCTTTGGGCCAGCCTTGAAAGCCTATGCAACCAAGAGACACTGCAGGTAGATCCTATCATTGATTTACAATGAACCTGATAACATTTGCGTCGGCGACTTTCCGAAGCAACCTTGACTGAATTCGGAAAGGCATTCCGCATTTCACCTCAATGAAAACACATAGCACAAGTGAGAAAGCAATTCCAAAAATCTTGCGAACAACCTCAAGATGCTGAGAGTCTCCAGAAACCAAGTACCAAGATCCGGAAAGCCTTGAAACCAGTCATGGACTCCGAGCACCACAGAGCCAAAATGCCTTGAATTGAAACCTAGGCTGCAGCCCTAAGTGCAGGTAGGTGGCCGAAAGCGATTTCTGTGCAGCTTCCACAACAAGCTCATTCATTACGATGAAGGATCACCAGGGTCACGCAGCCCAAAAGGGTGCAGGACAAAGCGCACAAGGGCGCTTGATGATCGTGACTAGAGTCTCAGGATCCGCTACAAGCAAACACTCAGGCGTTCAGGGTTGATGTTTGCATACGATCCTGGTATGTGCTTGAGCGCTCAAAAAGAAGAAGACGGTTGGATGTGATATGGGGCCCCGCTTGCCGGAAGCGAAGAAGAGCTCTTTGCGATGCTTTTGAGATATGTGATGGAGGCGCAGCTCCGAACTTAAGCAGACCAAGATAAGATTTTCTGCCACCTTTAGTGCTGGCTGTTGGGACATCCTGTCCACTCTTTCGCCAGCAAGGAGAAACATCACAAGCTGATGGGATCCAAAATCCATATGGGCCACGAGTCCAGAGCATGCGTCACTCATCTAAACCTATTGCAATTGACATCCAACCGAGCGCTATATTGACTTCTGCGTGAACGGTCGGGCATAAGTGCTTCAGGCGAGGCTTGCAAATTCGAGGCTTGAAACTTTAATGTCAAAGCTTCTACGCCTGCGGAATTAGCCTTGTTGGGCATACGAAGAAAGCACCATGCACCCTCAACCAAACGTGCAGCAGTTTCCTGCAACAGACTCCAGAGAGGTCTGCAATGATCTACACTTCAGGACCTGTCGTTTGCAATGTTTGCAAGTGGCAGTAATCATCGCCAGGCCCGGCCGGGTGTTTACGGTTTCGGACTGTCCCACAAAACCTTGCGAAGCTGTACTTTCAGGGAAGGGTTTGCGCAGCCTACTGGAGAATTCGCCTCGCTCTCGACAACTTTTCAGGTGTGTTTTTCTGCGTCCTAAACCCTACAGCAGCAACCTGTGCCCGAAAGCGATGCTTGTCAGACTTGTGGACGCGATTGCGTCACCACGACTTTGCCCTCAGCAGTGACTGCACCTTCAATGTCCTTCAGGGGTTTGGGGGTTGGGTTGGGGTTATCGCAAGGTTTCCAGAGTTTGAGGTTTTAACTCACACACTTTTCATGATCTAGACGCGTCGTGATGGTTATACCCTAGACCACATATCCTAAACCCAAATATGTTGACACCGAATCGTGTATCTCTGAGTTTTATTTCACTCTGCAGAAGGCTCAGTCAGAGCTCGAGTTCGTGGGGCTTGGTGTTCAGGAGTCCTGGATTTTTGTTGGGAGACCAGGGTTTATGGAGTCTCATAACTTACAAGGCTTCATGCTGCCATTGGGGATTGGGGGAATCTGAAATAAGAGTTCGTTCACTGACAACTGGCAGGGTGCCGAGGTCCTCCTCTTCAGCCTGAAGGACATCGGAACTGTGAAATGAATCTCTTCCACAAGGGTCAAGTAGTCTTCAAGCCTGAACTGAATCCTACAGCCGCCGCCATCTCATGAACATCGTTATTGTAAGTCTTATCGCAAACATCATAACAAAGAACCCAGAGACTCCAAAACCCCTTAATTAAGGAATATACGTTAAATTATAATAGGATCCCTAATATGATTTAAGGTATATTCCTTAGTTTAGGGGTTTTGGAGTCTCTGGGAATCCTAGCCAGTAACACCAGAGTCGACGTGGGACCTGCGGCTGTCCGGCGAAGTTGGCCTCGATCTTCCTGCAAGCTGGACGGCAGAGGGCGTGGAGCTTGAGACGTTGTGAGCTTCTTGGTTCGGGTTCAAGGTTTAAGGCTTTGCGGTGGGGTTGGGCAAAGGGTTTATGGCTGTAGCAGCACTTTGGGTTCTTTTAAGACTTGTTTTTCTACTTCGGATTGACGACTCATGCCACTTCAACCGGAGAAGAAGGCCAAAGCAAGGAACCGTCGCAGCAGTCAGGGAAGGAGAATTGGGGTGACCCAGTGGATCGTGAATCTTCTGGATAAGCGCGACGTTCTGCCAGGACGACGAGGGATCGAGTGTGGTTTGGCAGTTGCTAGTTTAAGGTAAGCGCCGTCACGTAGACAGCCATACCTCTAAATATGCCGCGCTGCCACCTAGCCACCTAGCCCTTCACAGATTCAGTACTGTTGTGAGGTCTCCGTGTGCAAGGCTGACCGGTAAGTAATCTAGGCACCGAACACGAAACGCAGACATTCCCTGTCCCGATGACATGACTGACCAATTGTCACTTCGGGCCGAAAAAGCTGTGGCTTCGGTTTCGTCCTTGAACTGAACTGAGGAGACTGACAAGAAAACGAGCTGAAGAAATACATACGCAGAACATATATATGTGAGAGCACAAAGCCCCAAGTACTAGACACAAAAGAAGGGAAACCCACTAAGCCCCAAACCCGAAACCTCCAAACGCCAACCCCCTAAATCCTAAACCCTGAACCCTAAACCCTAAATTTTAGAGGCGCAAGCGCCTAAGTGCGCCAGCGCAGGTTGTTGTTTTACGAACAGAAGGAAGGCAGCATTGAAGAAAAGCAAACGAGAGCCATAATTCAGTTAAAGTAATTTTGCAATTTCCATCTACGCCAAAGCAAACGGAGTTTAAGTAAATTGAAACTAACAAACCAACCAATATATGTCAGAAAATTGCAGCAGTTCACCGAAACTGATGTTTAACTCAATTGAGCAAGCGCTGAAGTCGGCACAAGGGTTTGGGTGGGTTTGGGCCCTTCCCATTGGAAAATAGTTTGCCAGGCCATGGAACGGAGTTTGCCTGCCCCTGCCCCGCCGCCCTCCCCCCTGCCCCCTGCCCCCCTAGGACCCTGTCCGGTGGCTTAGGGGCGCGAGTCTTTTGGGATCAGGGGCGCGAGTCTTTTGGGATCAGGGGCGCGAGTCTTTTGGGCTGAGGGGCGCCAGTCTTTCGGGCGTAGCGGCGCCAGTCTTTTGGGTCCGGGCCAATTCAGGTGCCTGAAAGCACAAAAACTTGTTCCGACAATCTTTGCAGCTTAGGGGTGACCCCCTAGAGAGAGAAATCTCTCTCAAATCGCTTAAAAGCGAAATTGCTAAGGGCGCCAAGCTGCGCTGGCGAATCCCTAAAACCTAAACCCTAAACCCTGAACCCTAAACCCTAAACCCTGAACCCTGAACCCAAAGCCCCTAAACCTCTGAACCCTAAACCCTGATCAATGACAAAGTTTTGTGCACATGGACACGAGGGAAGCGGGAATCGGAGGCCTCCCGAGCTCGAAGAGGCTTTTCAAGAGCTTGCTCCTTCGACGTTTTGTGGTGTTTAGGGATTTCGGGGTTCGAGTGGTTTCTACGGGAATCTAGCACTATTGTAGGTTTGAGGTGTCAAGGATTTTCGGGTTTTGGGCATCTTGAGCTTTGTTAGCGTCTATATATTCAGGGTTTCGGTTCGGAATCTCTGAACTTCTCTTGGGGTCCGGAAGGATGGGTGCTTTGCGACATGTGGATTCGGATACAGCTGTGGGTGACCCCTTTAGCCCGAAAGGAACGGATCTGGCAAAGCCGTGGAGAATGCAAAGAAAGTCATCGCTCAGCCTCGGGGAGAGATAAGTTTTCTCACATCACCTTTTTCCTCACCGAGGCTCTGCATGTCCCAAGCTTCCCACGGCGGATGACGTGCTAACTCCGGACAGTAGCGGCTGTTATGTATTGCCCGTAAGACTCAAGCTTGATGGCCCATGCCTCCCAAACTTGACCCCCATGGCACCATCATTAGATCGGGCTCTATGCCCTACAGCCTCGTCGAAGGGTCTGAAGATTTTACGAGATGCATTGCGCCACGAAACCGTGAGATTTGTCGGGTAAACCCTTAGAGCCGCAGCCCTACAGCGCTGAAGAGACAGGTACAGCAACAGAAAACATGGCAACGAGGCGGCTGGAAAACATCTGGCCCTGACGCCTGAAGCCCGCATCGAAGAAGAGGGGTTCGGCAGCGTAGTTTATGGTGCGGTGTTCGCCTGGGAAGGCTTCGGATAGCTCAGGCTTCCCCTTTCAGCGAAAGTGTCCGGCATACTGGGCAGGTTTGCCTCGGAGACTTCGCAATGGAACCCTTATAGTACCCTTATAG